TCCGTTTCCAGATGAATTCCAAACAGACAAACAGGAGTGGAATCAAATCGGATTTTGGTTATATTCCAACAATTATAGTCTAATAACAATCTAATTGGTGCTACTAAGACTTAATTGTATTAAATTATCAGCGATTTCATTATGTTCCAATCGTGACGCAATTGGAATTGGATTTAAAAATTATCCATATTCCAATCGGATTTCTATCATAAAACGATTTTAATCCATTTGGAACCTAATTTCCATAATACCATATCGACTATACTACCATAATAATATTTAATCGATTGCCAATGTGGCACAATTGGAACTGGATTTGGAAATTATATTCCAATTGGGTTCCTATCATACTTTAGGTGGAACACGATTTTAATCCCTTCGAAAATTAATTTTTAACTGGATTCTCATTCGATTTTTGTCTTGGCACAATTGGAATTGAATTGGAATTATATATCAATCGAATTCCAATTTAGAATCCAGTTTCCCTTGAATTCTTATTTGATTCCCATCTTCCAATGGAATTTCTACCCTATTCTGGTCTAAACACCATTTTAATCCATTTACAAAATTAACCATTATAGTGGCACAATTGGAATTTGATTGGAAATGACAATCCTATCCTACTTTAGTCGCAGCACACGATTGTAATCCATTTGGAACATAGTTTCCGTTGGATTCTTATTCGATTTGAGGGTTACTTTCGCTGTACAGCAAGAATAAAACGCTGTCTCAACGGTAATAATTAAGTATTTTATTGAAAATTAAGTTGTATAGAACAAGACGTGTTGACGGGGTGAGTGTTTGTTGGAGATTCCTTGTGTGGAGTCGGTCGTAGGTATATGAGTACGCATCTGGTCGCTGTCGCCAGTCCGCCGTAGACCTTTCCTGGAACGCTGATGCGTCCGGCGGCGTCCCGCTGGCGCTCTTGACTTAATGCTTAAAAATGGGTCACTTGCGAACATGTGTACCCACAGATTCTTATCGCAGCACAATTGGAACTGGATTTGGAAATTATATTCCATTCGGATTTCGGTCGACTTCAGTCGCATCGCGATTTAAATCCTTTTGGAACCTAGTATCCAGTTGGATTCTAAGTCGATTCCAATTATTGCACAATTATGATTGGGATTACAGTCCAACCGGATTCCTAGACAATTCCAATTAAATTACAATTTTGATAAATTCGGAACCTAATTCCATATCTATTTTGACACAGTTGGACTCTAAAGAATCTAAACCTGAATTCAGAAATTCTATTCCTATCGGAATTCTATCGTATTCTAATTAAAGTACGTTTTTAATCCAATGTATTTTTCAACTGGATTGTTATTTGATTTCGTCGTGGCACAAATGGAACTGGATTTGGAAATATATTCCTACGGATTCTACTCTAGTCGGAATACAAATTTAATCTGTTTACAACTTAGTTGATTTCTTTTAAATTTCTGTGGCGGCGCAATTGGAATATCTGATTGATTTCTCATGTGATTCCAATGGAAGCACAATAGGGATATAACTCGATTTTAAAGTAGGACTATACAGGGTGTCCGGGAAAATGTGGGAAATCTCTCGGGTGGAGACAGAACATGAAAAAATGAGATGACAAGTTCCTATATTTTTTTTTCGCATATAGCGGCGATGCGTTCTATTACTCGGTCTAGCGAACGCGTGGGGAGAGCGAGGCGGCGCATGCGCGCTACGCGCCTGGTAACGCGCAGGAAAATGATCGAGCAGCTTCAAATCGATGGAGCTGGAAAAATTAGCCATATCTCGGTTAATAATGAACCTATCGAGATGATTCTTTTTTAATTTGTGGTAGCGCGAAAATTCATGAGCATTGAAGCTATGGTATTAACATTATTTCAACTCGAGATTTAATTTTTTATTTAGCCTCGCTATTCCCACTCGTTCGCTAGACCGAGTAATAGAACGCATCGCCGCTATCTTCTTTTTTGCAATTAAATAGTTGAATTCACCTTAATGTTAATATAGGACATGAAAATATAGCTCTTAATGTATACTCTTTCCAAATTTCGGCATTTAATATTAATAATTAACGTAACAGCGTTTAAATAAAAAATATATATATCTCAGCTTCTAATCAACTTAGAACAACGATTTTTTTTTAAACTCGAAGAAAAATAGTACTAACTAAACTATAGACGTTAGTATTTCGTTTTATAATAATTACCTATCTTAACAATTTAGTAAATATTAACATTTTTTCAGTCATTTTTGAACAAATTAAATTTGAAAAATTGAATTCTCAGTAAATGCTTATGTCAATACAACTATTTAGGTACAAAAACAACTAATGATCGAAACTCTACAACGCCTTTGAGATTGGGAAAAATGAATTGAAAATAGCATCTTCTTAGATAACAAATTCCGTCAACGCCAAACTAATGAAGCTTTCGGGCTGAAATATTTACCACTTATTAAGGATGCAAAAGGCCTCAAAAATTCTGAATTACAAATATCTGCGATGAAAATTGCATTAATTATTAGCAATTGAAGAAAACGGTCAATTTCTACCATTTTTGAGCTCTTGCGCATAAACAAATTATCGGAATTTAATCGAACTTGTCTTATTTTACAGATTTATTTAATACCTACCTACCTTTTTTGTATAAACCTTTTTTTCTCTATGAATAACAGTTTTTTTACGCGAGTCCAAAAGCCACTTTTCCAGAACTTTGACCATTGTTTTAACAAAGTTTCCCAACTAGTCTCGAGTTGATTTGTTGATATTTTGTTTATAACACGTTTCTGAACAATATTCCGCAAAAAAACTTCTAATAGTAATTTTTTCACGAAAAAAAGCCATAATGACTGGCCTAATTCTGAATATTTTAATATTATTTTGAGGAATTCCAACTAAGCGCTATTCCAATAGCTCTGTTATCTATCGAGAAAATTTGCCACACTAGTAAGTCTACACGGATTTGATCGTTCGGGAGATTAAGCATAATCTGTGTTTCATTAGGTATTTATATTCCATTCTCGCAAATTATAATGACTATATAATAGTAGCGAGTAAAATTAATAGTGTGGGATAGAATAAAGGGTGGCATTAATCAAAAATATTCAAATTAGTTAAGTTGAAGCCGTGGTGTAAAACTGATAGGATCTCTCATAATTTTGCTTTAAATAGCTTAATACGAGCCTGCGGTCTGGCATTTCAGAAAATTATTCGATGCATGTTCATTGTATTGTTATTTGTTATACCTTGGGGGGGAGTATAGCTGCCCTTTGTTTGGGGTTGATTAGGTGGGTAATTATGTATTTATTACCATGAAAATAACTTTTGAACGTTGATTTGTTCAGAAACAATTAATTATTGTTGTTTTAATAATAAAAAAGTATCTTATTGAAAATAGTCATGTTTGTCATGTGTATAGAATGAGACAAAATTTATATTTTTTATTTTTCCAATCAAAAAGGTATTTATAATTTATTTAATACTAAAAATTTGCTTAATCGTGCTTGGAATTTTTTAAAACTTTGTGTTTTAATGAGGATACATTGTAATGAATTCTTTATTTTCGACACTTAAGTGTGCTAACTTTAAAAATCCTGCGTCCCCTTCCTTTTATTAAATATACATGCACATTAGTTGTATTAAGCACTAAGACATTGTTATTGACATGTTAATCTCTTGCTATAGACATATATTGAAGCAAGTATTAACAGATAACATCTTAATTGTATTAAGCAATTATCGACGTTAGCTAGTAATTGAAGGATTATCATTTAAGCAGTGAGCTAATTACTTACGTATAATCTAGCTTTGGAAGCTATTAGTGCCTATAGGAACAGAATAATAAAAAAATAATCAAAGCTTATGTTTTGACAATTACTTTATTTTAAAGATATGAGATATCAACAATCCAAGAACATGTAGTTATAGATGAGGTTATGCGCAACACAATTCATAATAAAATAAACAACCAAATAATAGTTTTTTGAAAAATTTGGCAATTTCACCTGACAAAAATTACACGAAATATAGCAGATATAATTTTCGATTGGTTTGAACTTTTCTTCCACTTTAATCGTCTCCATATATACGTAGATTATTATTATTAAAAACATTATGGTTTTATGAAATGCAAAACGGAATCAAAATGTCGGCATTAACGTCATTTTTAAAAGCAATCACATGTACGGATACTATAAATGTTCCGATAAGGAACTAATTTAAATATCATTTGTAAAATATGACTTGAGCACTTTATAATGAGACATATCTGAGTATAACCGATCTATTTCGTGACTACTAGCTAAGTTTATAAAGACGTTGGAAGAGATTGTGCTGAACGATGTTGATAACGTGACATTAAAATATTAGTATCAACTGCATTTAGGATATAGAAGTTAAATTTAGCAATTAAAAAAAATGTGAATAGAGTGAAAAAAAATCATTTCATCATATTTACTGTCTAAAGTTAGTGAATGGCACAGTTTTCTATTTTCAGGATCAGTTAAGGATTATTTTTATTATATAGTTTTGCCCAACAAAAATCTTACGCTGAAAAAGCAGACAAACAAAATACACGCCACTATATACCACGTACCAACCGTCACAAAACTATGACATTTTTTGACTGTCAGAATTCTCTAAGGTTGAAATATTCCTTACAGAGGAAAAGTCATAGGAGGCTCAATATTATCTGACTGATCCATTCAAACAGCATGATGCGACGTTCTACTAGAACCTGAAGTTGAAGTGTCATTGTAAAGAATCCTGTTGGCTATTTAATTTTTGTTACTTAAACTGTCAGCAACATATCTATTTCTAAAATTATTATTACACTTTATTGACGTTTCGTCTTTCTTATATTTTGGGTGAATTACAGAAAAAGTGTCAAATTACTGTCAAATTACATGCTTAATGTAATTTTACTTGTACGATGCAATTTTACATTATCTTGCGTGGCGCCAAAATAACCAACGAACTAGTGTATAATTTTACATAAAATCTGTATGAGTGTACTTACAATTAATGTCTAAAACAGCCACCTTCGTCTCGGGCTGGGTGAGGTTATTGTTGCTGGCCTGGCAAATCAGTCTTGCGTGCAAATGTTGTCTACCAACATTCGCGAATGTAACATGATTGACGACGGTGCCGTCGTTCCTTATCTCGTAGGAATCGTCGATTACGGTGTTCTCTAGAAACCAGATCACCCTCGGCCGCGGCCGCCCTGAAACAACCACCACGGAATTAGCAGCAGCGAAATCGGTTTCCCGTTTAAATTTTATAGTCGGGTTGCCTATTGAATTTAATAAGCCTCTCTAGCCCAATCGGGCTACGGCGCAGGGTAGTATTTCAATTTCAACTCGAATATCTAATGGATTTCGAAGCGGCTAGGGGAAAGCTAATAGTCTTTTAACTAGGCGCGACAGGAGAACTATAATATCGATCGTTCTAAGTTTTTAAAATCACACTGCAAGAAATTAAGTTTCCAAGCAAAGTTTCCAGATTGTGTAAGTTAGTGGGAAAATGGAAATTTTACGTTTTAAATAAATAATTAGGTACCTAATTAGTATACTATTAATATAAAAATTCATAGATATACAGGGTGTTTCTTAAGTATAGGTAAAAAATCCAGGGGCGTATTCTGTGGATAAAAATAAGGGTTTTTTGTTACATAAATGTGGGGTCTTAGGACAGCCATTGTCCAGCTACAGCGTGTCAAAAATTGAAAAAAAAATCAGTTTTTAATTTTTAGTTTCTAAACCGTTTGAGATAATTTAACCAAATTCGGTGTGCATGTTTAGTATGACAGTAGGTATAAAACAATAAATTACCAGCTTTAGAAACCTACCAGTGGCGGAGGTGTGGGTATCATTAAGCATTATTAGCCAAAAAAAATATATCACCCTGTATAATATAAACAAATAAATTAAATCATCATATGCGTCATTGTATTATCTTCACCCTTTTTTTCTTTACACTTTTTTGTATTCTAAACCGATTAACAACAAAATTGATTTATTTAATCAAGTGCATTTTTACGATACTCATTATCAAAGAGCGGCAAATCAGATGTTCGTTTTTTGAAAAATCGCTCGGACCCGTTGAATTATATTTTTAGTTGCGCATTTTCTGAAGCAATATTCATGTATACAGGGTGACCCAAAAAAAAGTTATGAAATCAAGGCCAACTTTTTTAAACAGTAACCCCACATTTTTGCATTTTTATTCAATTTTCCATGAAATTCTGATCATTTTTTATGTAACATAATCTATACCTATCTTTAACCGTTTTCGAGATAATGGTGTCTGAATATAGAATATGGAAAATTTTCAAAAATTACCCTGAGATTTACCCTGCTGGTTTTAAAATAGAACCACGTTTACTTTTCCATCTTAGATTTGTTTGGTTCACAGAAAGTTGCTTCAAATCAGAAAAATGCATGTGAAATAAGTGGTTCGGTGATTTATTTTGATCATTAGGACGCAATGACTTGAATGTAAAAAATATAGGTGAGGTATTTAGGTATAATTTAATTAAAAACGCTTAATTTTATTGTATAAAGTATGATTTTGTTAAATGTCACTATTTAAATTACGAGCCAGGTTATTTTGCAAATTTTTAGCACCGAAATTTTTCTGATTTGAAGCAACAAATCTAAGATGGAAAAGTAAACGTGGTTTTATTTTAAAACCAGCAGGGTAAATGTCAGGGTAATTTTTGAAATTTTTCCATATTGTATATTCAAACGCCATTATCTCGAAAACGGTTAAAGATAGGTATAGGTTATGTTACATAAAACTGATCAGAATTCCATGGAGAATTGAATAAAAATACAAAAAAGTGGAGTTTTCATTTAAAAAAGTTTTTAAGAAAATGTTTGTAGGAGGCATCGGTTAAAGTTCTTGGTAAAAAGTAAGGCCGAACAAGAACCAATAATACCCACCCATACATTCAAAGAAAACTGATGTTGAAATCGAGATTCCATTATGGCATGAGGGTTTCCATCAGATCAAACGTGTTTATTGTGGAAGTTCTTTATAGCATTTCTGGAAAAATTAGCTTCGTCGGTATATCTAACTCAACTATAAAATCCATTTTTATAAATTCATTTTAGATTTACGTGTTCCAATAAAGTATATTTCAAAACAAGACATATTTATTAACAGCAAATATTACATGAGTTCTCATAACAATATATCATGTCGTGATAAATAAATGGTTATTTCAAAATATTTGCTGAATAAATCATGTGGTCGTGATAACCTTATTTTTGCTACCTCTTTTATTGAATTATTTCTGTTACAGGAAAGAAATTTTCTCGGTATGGAGTTCTAGATGATTACGATATTTTAATGTTAATGAAAATTACCCGTTGTCGAGAAAAGTTTGTGTAATATAATGATATGCGACCCTGTGTTTTAAATTATAGACTACGTATAGGAGTCATGCAAAGTATTCATTAGAACTTTTCATATGTAATGTGACAACTCCATTTTAAAAATATAACCCGTTTTTGTTGTAATCTATTTTATGAGAGTATCTCGCATAATTACTTGCTACATACACATATTTGCGAGAAAAACCTTCCAATATCTATCAGATGCATTTTAAGAGTTAGGTGCTCTATCTTATGTTGCTGAGTTCATATTTTGATTTACCCGTTGCACCTTTTAGTCTGTATTAAATCAATACATTCTCATACGAATAGAAGTAGACCTTCGCCTTATTTACATATTTGTATTGCTAGAAAACTTACCTCCTTTAACTTCACATAAAAGATTTACATCGGTTCCCTCGTTATACGGCCCTAACAGTATTGATTTATCCACCCGGTGATCGTCGAAAATACGAATGGATTCTGGAGGCACTGAAACAAAAAAAAATATTGTAAATTGGAACGCTGAGAGGAAAAATGATTATAAATTTGTTTACTGGTAATTCTACTACTTCCAGATTGTAGGTTCAGACTTATTAGCCTTATTAGTTACTGTTCTACATTGAACTACTGTCAGTGAGATATAAGTGAGACATCTAACGGAGGCGCTGTAGGACTAGTAACAAAAAACGGGAGCATATGAGGTATATGCGAATTAACATAAATAAAAGTATTCAGTACAGTCACGTGATGTTTTAGAAATAAAAAATATATACTTTATATAAGGTTATATCAATTTACGTGTGCTATAAAGCGACTTCCGGCCACAAACGCCCTCTTTATTATCGTTGCGAAATAATTTACTTCTTTAGCGCGTTTTGTTTGCTTTTTACGTTTCGTTACGTTACTTTTACTCCTGCTCGCGAGTAATATAATCCTTATTACATTGTTACTCCCTCATGGCTCCAAATATGAATTTATGTTTTAAATTCCTCTGATAAAATAAGATACGACAGCCTTTTATGCCGTTTTATGGTATTCTTTTCGTCTTTAAGCGGAATTGTCACAGGATATCTGGAATGTCTCATCCGTATCTTTAGGAGTTGACGTTCGAGAAATACGTACAGCTTGTAGGTGCAATATTTCAGCCTTCAGCTTTACGGTCTATAATAATTCAGCTGAACTATAAACTCTTATATAAAACAAAAATTTAGGGCGCAATGAATTTTATTTCGTCTATATAGTTAGACCGTGAGATTTTTACAACGCTGGGTATTTTAGGAAATGTCTAACAATGAAAAATATTAGTCGTAAAAAAATGTCGAGATCCGATTTCGACCTTGGTATTATTATCGTACTGCGGTTGCCCCTTTAATAAATTTATCAAGGTCCGAAAATATGAAAACCGTTGAATCAATAATTTTTGGGACCTTACATTTCAATAAATTATATTTTATATACACTACAAAAACGAAATACTGTAAAATTACAATTATTAAAGGAGAACACAATAGTTGTCAGTATTACAATAAACATAGGTGAAAAATTTATACTAGTATATTAGTGGAATATCAAATTTATCAAACTGCTATACTGAAGACAATTACAACAGTTAATGTAATATTACAGGTAAATTACATTAAACTGAGATGCAGAAAAATGCGTATTAATAGAATTTAATGTTTCAAGCCCGAAGACTGGCAAATTAAATTAAACTACTGCGCAATGAGGATTACAGCCATAGTTAGTGTAAAATTACAAATAAATTATATTCAAACTATTACCCTAGACGAGGTCATAATAGTCTACATTGTAAAATTATACAAAATTTATATGCTTAAATGTAGACAAATGTATTTTAATGGAATTTCTTGTTTAAAACTTGAAAAGTTTGGTACATTTTTCAAACCACTACCCAAACAGGATTACAATCGCCATGAATGTAAAATTACAGTAAAATTGTACCTATTCAATTTAAGAGTAGCATATTAATGGAATTTCAGGTTTAAAGTTTGAAGACTGCAAATTTATCAAAGCAGTACCCGAAACGGGATTACAGCAGTCAGCAGTGTAAAATTACAAAAGGATAACATTAAACTTAGGTATATTAAGGTAATTTCACATTGAAAATTGGCAAATTTAAAAACTATTACTCAAAAGAAGACCACAACCGCAGCAGTGTAAAATTGTAAATACATTACCAAATTACATTAAGCTTATGCAAAGAAAAATGTATACCAAAAAATTTTAGGTTTGACGTGTGCGTATTTTGGAAAATTACAGAAAAACTGCATTAAATTGAAGGGTAAACAAATATATTCGTGGTATTTCACGTTTGAAGTTTGAAGAGTTTCGAAAATTTACTAAACGGGGTGACAGCAGTCGTCAGTGTAAAATTACAGAAAGAAATACATTAAACAGAGTTGTAGAAAATGTATATTAATGGAATTTCATGTTTGAAGTTTGAAGACTGTAAATTTACCAAATCAGTACCCCAAACGGGATTACAGCAGTCGTCGGTGTAAAATTACAAAAGGATTACATTAAACTTAGATATATTAATGGAATTTCACACTGAAAATTGGTAAATTTAAAAACTATTACTCACAAGGAGACCACAACCTCAGCAGTATAAAATTGTAGATTAAATTACTATAGCACTTCTCGTTTAATGTAGGCGTGTATTTTGGAAAATTAAAGAAAAACTGCATTAAATTGAAGAGAAAACAAATATACCTATGTTCATGGCATTTCACGTTTGAAGTTTAAAGAGCTTGGCAAATTTACCAAGTAGAATCACGATAGTCGTCATTGTAAAATTACAGAGAAAAATACATTAAATTGAGTTGCAGAAAATATATATTAATGGAATTTCATATTTGAAGTTTGAAGACATTGTAAATTTACCAAATCAGTATTCGATACGGAATTGCAGCAGTGAGCAGTCTAAATTACAAAAGGATTACATTAAACTTACGTATATTAATGTAATTTCACATTGAATATTGACAAATTTAAAAACTATTACTAAGAAGAAGGCTACAAACCGCAGTAGTGTAAAACTGTAGATAAATTACAAAATTACATTAAATTTGTGCACAGAAAAATGTATATTAAAATAATTTGAGGTTGGACGTACGTGCAGTTTGGAAAATTACAGAAAAATTGCATTAAATTAAAGGGTAAACAAATTTATGTTATTCATGTGATTTCACGTTTAATGTTCCAAGAGTTTGGCAAATTTTCTAAACGGGGTTACAACTGTCGTCAATGTAAAATTACATAAAAATACATCAATCCCAGTTGCAGAAAATATACGAGATATTAATGGACTTTTGTGTTTGAACTTTGAAGACTTGGCAAATTTACCAAACCAATAACAGAATACCTAATTACGTTCAACGTAGATATACAGGGTGTTTATTAAATATGTCGACAAATTTCAAAGGGCGATTTTTTGAGTAATAAGTACATGTAAGATTTGCAAGTTTACCAAATGAATTAATTAAAATTGACAGAAATATGTATATTCATTGTAGATGTTTATATTATTGGTTTAATCACATTCTAACTGTATAATAAATGTAATATATGAGGATTTATGTCGTACACTGCCAGAAGAGTGCAATTTGTGAGCTCTGATTGTTAAAAAGTACATACACATCGCAGTTTTACACCTAATATCGAAATTACGAATAAAAAATCTTGTATCACAATATTCGTTTATTATTTACGTGTTTTTGCCGAGTTGCCTTACAGGTCTGAGGGCGACGGACCCCGACGGCGCTAACTTCAAACGGAATACTTAATTCCGTGAAATTTTATTTTTATTCAAAGCAACTCATAAATCGAATGAACAGTATAAAGCTTTTTACCTGTCTGTTTCCACCGTATATTATAAAGGAGCAAATGCAATAAAGCGAACTCCCAAAGCAAATCCGCATATATTTAATATTTGCTCGTTGATTTCTGTCGTCCTTTGTCAAATTTTGTTTGTAACACGGTTACGTTCAGATGGAAGTTAAAAATTCCACGGGAGGAAAACTTTAAGTACAGTCAGACGTCGGGCGACAAAAGAGTCAGGCCAATGCAACTCGGTTGTAATAATGTTACACAATTTCTTAAATTTTCATGCAGTAAAAATGTATTTGATGTGGTGAAACGTGTATGTTAAATTTTACACGCATTGAAAAAACTCACACTCGGGAGATGAGTTGTACCATTGAACTACTGGGCAATTTAAGATTATTTTGGTACCACTCATTTACTCTTGACAGACTCTTTTGGAGTACAAAACAGTCTTCAGTAGATGTAATAGAAGTGAACAGTTTGAAGGAATCTGCATATAAAAGAACGTTATTCGGTCTGGACATTTTCAAAATTGCAAAAATGTTTAAAAGATTTAAAAAGTACCTATTTCATCTGAGTTTTTTACTTATATCTTGGAACCTATGCATTTTGGAAGAATATTGAAGAGGAAAAAAGTTTTAGAATTGAATTTTTCTAAAATTGTCATTCCTTGTAAGATGAGTCTTAAAAATATGCTGAATTGTTTTATTATTGTCTCCGGATTGTATCTTCATCGTTCTTTGATTGTTTCTTAATTGTTTTGATTGTTTTCCAATTGTTTCTTGATTTTTTTTCTGATTGCTTCTGGATTGTTGCGGAGTATATCTGATAGTTTATCGATTGTTTCTTGATTGTTTGCGGATTGTTTTTCAATTCTTTCTGGATTATTTCCGGATTATTTATTTCTTCATTGTTTCCCGATTGTTTCTTGATTATATCCTAGTTGTTTCCGTTTTTCCATTGTTTCTTGATTGTCTTTTGATTGTTTCTTGATTATTTCTTGATTGTTTCCCTATTGTCTCCTGATTGTTTCTGGATTGTATTTCGATTGTTTTCAATTGTTTCTTGTTAGAAATGTTTAAATTTATTACAGATGTTGCAAAATAGCAATAATTGATGAAAAAAGGGCAAAATAATCAAGTTTTTTAGATAATTTTTAAAAATGTTTTAATTACTTCGAGGGCATTCTAATTTTGGTAAAAAAACTTTATAGTATAATTAAACAATACACCAAATTTCGTTAAAATCGGTTTAATAGTTTTCTCAAAATAATTTTTTGAAAAAAATTTTGAAAAAAATTTTCGAATTTTCAAAATGTTGGACAGCCTCCAATAAAATATTTAGATATTTGAAAATTTTTTCACATAGAAAAGGCTGCTCAACCTTTCAAATGGTTTATGAAAAATTGAAATCGGTTGATTAGGACGGCCACAGTAAATTTTTAAAGTTAACACTCTTTTTTTTTNGTTTGAAGGAATCTGCATATAAAAGAACGTTATTCGGTCTGGAACATTTTCAAAATTGAAAAAATGTTTAAAAGATTTAAAAAGTACCTATTTCATCTGAGTTTTTTACTTATATCTTGGAACCTATGCATTTTGGAAGAATATTGAAGAGGAAAAAAAGTTTTAGAATTGAATTTT